TAATGAATCGCAAGAAGCCTTCTCTCGTGAGTCTCCAATAACCATAAATCTATAATTCTCACGTAAGTCATCAAGAGAGTTTATAGCTTGAACTAATGCATTATACGCATTTCGCATCTCTTTTTGGGAATATTTTTTTACAAAATCTTCAGTTATATCTTTGGGGGTCTTTTTATAAAAAGATGCTAGATTGTATTTCTGTAAAGCAAGTCTCCAGGCTAGGTCTATATCCTCTTCTCTTTCTAAGCATTCTCGAATATCTGAAGCTTCGATATTACTCAAAACTGGAGCATTAGCAATTATTGAATACTTTTCTGTATTCAGAACTTTTTTGATTGAACATACATTTAAAAGCAATTCTTTGCTTTTATTATTTTCTGTGATTTTTAAATCAATAGAAGGGCAATCTTCAGCAACACAAATGTCATAACCACATTCACTAAAATGGTCAGCTAGTAAACCTACAAAATCGTTTCTAGACGCATTATGGCAGGATGCATTATAGAGATGAGTTTCTAAAGATGCGTTTGGTTTAAAAATCTATTTGCCATCAAGAATAAGTGTTTTATTACAATGAGCTTTCTCCAAGTCGGGATATTCCACGACATTACATTGATAGCTGGTAAATCTTCATGGTCTGTTGGCAAATTATCGCCACATAAATCTGTTAGAACATGCACTACATTTTGATTTAACTTTCTAACACGATGCAACATCTAATACGCTTCATTGCTTGTTAGACCAGCTAATGTGCGAAAATGTGCAAACGTTATATTGAAGTTTTCTATTGTTATACTTACATTGCAAGTCATGACTGGAGTTGCTATTAAATAATCAAGATTTGCCACTGCATCATTAATATCGGCAAATATGTCTTTTTTCTCTGTTTCTGATAGCCGTTTAGAAAAACATTTACCTCGATACCTATAAGACACCAATTCTTTATAAAGAGCTTCTGCCATTTTCACACTAGCAAACATTGGAATATAGACTTTTAATCCTTGTCTCAGAGCTCCAATTAATTCAGCATTCCATTTTTTGGTATTAATATATATAAGAGCATAATGTTTATCTTGTACATGCTGGTTCCATATCACAGTTGAATTTTCGGCATCTATTTTGTAAATGTATAAGCGAGTCTAAATCTAATATAGCATCTAAAGCCAATATTAATAATGTGGATTGAGGCAAGGATTTATATACATCATGGCTCAGTTTCGGTTTTTTCATAGTAGGTCTACTAAAATTCTGAGTGATAGTTTCAAACTCATCTAGTATAATTATATTATAGCCAGTTGCTCCAAGTTTGTGAATGCTTTCGGGACTGATAATGAGTTTCGGAGTATCTTTAGAATTAAGCTTTTTCATATCCAGTTCAAGATAAGACTTAAACCCTTCGAAAAGAACTTTTTGACCATGGGCTAGACTATGCCGGCCGGAAATAATGAGAATTGAAACAGAAGAACCATCAGAATAACATAGTGTTTTTATTTCCTCTGCTGCCTTATTTGATTTGCCAATACCACAATGTCCTTTAATAAGCATCAAGTGCTGGTTACCGCTTGTAAGTTTAGCTTGTAAATTATAGCTATGCATTGTTTTAGCATTATATATTTCGATGTTTTTTCCAATAGCAGTAAAGTTATTTTGTGAATGAGATTGTAATATA